TGGCGGGAAGGCTGCAGCGTTCTGTGCCCCTTTGGCCTAGAGTCATGCTGGCCACATGAAGACGGGCGCATCTTCGGACAGCTCTGGCTCCCTTGGTTAAGACACGGAGGTGAGCAACCGTCCCTAAAGTCGGACACCGGTGGGCAGAGGAAAACCTGACCGCTATCAAAAGAGATTTGGCCGCTCCAGTTTCACCGGTCAGTGCCCCCGAGCGCACACGCCTGCCCTCCCACTCTTGCTAACTCTGCCCTGTCCTGTTTGGTCTGCAGCTCGCAGTCGTCATGTGGCTGATGACGTACGTCGGGGCCATTTTTAATGGGATCACCCTCCTCATCCTTGGTAAGTTGCAAACAGAGATAGAGGTGAAAGCATGGACGGCTCCCCAGTGACCAGGCAGGCAGTCAGGGGGCCGAGACCCCCATTTGCTTCCTCCTCCGTTCGTTACTCTTTGTTTTGGTTTTAGATTTATATCCCATGCTTCATTGGGGACCTCAAAAGGGCGTTTGTTTTTCCCCAGAACCACAGCCCTGTGAGGTAGGCTGACTTGAGAGGGATGGACGGGCCCAGAGTCTCTCGGGGAGCTTCTTGAGGCTGAGGGGAGGACTTGAACCCAGGTCTCTCCAGTACTAGCAGTCTGTCACCTTCCCCTCTACAGCACCCCACCTCTTCCAAAATATATTTTAATTTATTATACTTTAATGTTTAAATGTGTTTTTATTTTATTTCTACTTTATTTTAATTTATTTTAAATTTTATTTTATTTTTATTTCATTTCTATTCTATTTTATTCATAACCCATCTCTCTACCAAGTGACTCCAGGCGGCTTTGATTGATTCTTAAGTTTGCTCTCGAAAGTACGCAGCCCGATAATGGAAGAGACATCAGGAAGGAGAAGGTTTTTTTAAAAAAGAGAAAAAACGTTATCTAAGGCACCTGTTTGAAAAACTGGCAGTTCTTATGCCCATCCAGAATAAAAAAAAAACGGTCTGGGTAGCATGATAAGAAAAGGGACATCAGCAATGGCCAAAGCTAAAAAAAAAGCCTTTCTTTGCTTGACCGCATGATAAAACAGCCCAAGAAAGGTTTAAATGACCCTCCATCGCCTTCTACTGCTGTGGATTTCCTGCCAGCCCTAAACCTTCCTCTTTTTGAGTGTCTAGAGATGATGGTTCTTGCCTAATTTGGTAGAGGAGAGGAGAGGAGAGGAGAGGAGAGGAGAGGAGAGGAGAGGAGAGGAGAGGAGAGAATGGAATGGGATGGAATAAGAATAGCACAGCATAGCATAGAATGAGGAACAGGAATGGAATAGATTTTTCAGAAAATA